CCTGCCTTGCAAGTGCAAGGACCCGAGTTCAATCCCTGGTACCAAAAAAAAAAAAAAAGACTTTGGGCTGGGGATTTAGCTCAGTGGTTTCACTGCCTGCTGTGCAAGCGCAAGGACCTGAGTTCGATCCCCAGTACCAAAAACAAAAACAAAAATATATATATATATATCAACTGGATGTGCTGGCAAAAATTAAAACAGGAAAAGGGGGAGGGGGAGACATAGAAATATAGCTTAGTATCACAAGCACGCCCATACACACACACACACACACACAAAATTATATCTCAATAAAGCTGTTAAATACATTCAATAACACTGGGGAAAAGTATTTCATTTGTATCTTACATGTTTTAAATTGCTGCAGGATGAATGGGGAAAGGGCTATTTTTTCTAGTCTTTCTCATTTTGCTTACCAGGTATGGCTTCTGGGTAACCAATTTTCCTTCCCAACTTTTTCAATGCAGAATTTCTGTGGTCCATTGCTCCCTAAAACATAGCAAAACCATAAAGTTTGTTGGTTCAAAATTTCTCAAATTATGCTCTCCAATGTAGCAGCATCTCTAGGTCAGAATCCCAAATCCACAGGCCCTACCCCAAGGCTACTCAATCAGAAACTCTAGGAGGGGATCCCTACAGTATGCGTTTTAGCAGGCTTCCAATGACTCTGGGGAGTGCTAAAGTTTGAGAATAATTTTGTTCATGTATGCCCAAGAAGAGAAAATACACTTTTATTTGGCATTCTTTTTTTGGCACCAAGAATTGAACTCAGGAACTCAGGACCTTGTGCTTGAGAGGCAGGTGCAGTGCCATGAAGCTAAATCCCCAGCCCTATTTGGCATTCTTTAGGCAGAATAACAATATTACATACAAAAAGCTTAATTTTATTAGTTTTAACTACATTAGAGAAACTATGATCTACTATCTTGTGTAAGAAAACTTGATTTAAATACACAGTTGTTAACATTTTATGAAATGTAAACATCAAAGTCAATTCAATATTAACAATGCTTGTGCTTACAGGTTCTGTAGAACATACCCTTACATAAACACATTAATTCTTGCCTCTTCTTTACCTCTGTGAGAGACAGCAGTGAATGACTGCAAAGCACTAGTTTAATAAAAGATCACTACTGCTTCCTAGAAAGCATTTATTGCTGATCAAAACGACTGGCAGTGCTACTGGACCTGTTATGTAGAAGTGGCCAGGCACAAACCAGGCATGGTAGCACAAACTTCTAATCTCAGTTACTTGGGAAGATGAGGCAGGAGTATTCAAAGCTTGAGGTCAGCCTGGGCAGCTTAGCGAGACTGTCTCTAAATAAAATAAAAGAGACTAGGGATGTAGCTGAGTAGTAGAACCCTTGCCACATGTGCACAGTCCTGGGTTTGAGCCCCACTACCACCAAAACCCCCCCTCTAAAACCAAAAAACAACAAAACAACAAAAGGCCAGATATACCAAATTTTCTCATGTTTTACCTGATCAAATCCAGTACAAATATGAATTGGTAGTACTACTTTGTATTTAATAACAATTATTTTCACAAATAGTTAAAATAAAAAGTCTGGTAATATAAGGAAATGGATCATTGTGAAAAAGAATTATTAAAATAGTTTTGTGGTGCTAAATATACATATTAAAATTTTAAAATACTAAGTCACTCTGCATGTTATCTTTACACAATATATTACAGCATTTTAACTATACAGATGAAAAGAAATTTAAAAGTGCTAATATGTAATTTAGAAGATTCTGAATCACTTTAATAGACATAGAATCAAATACTAAAATAGGAAGCCAGGTGTGCCTGTAATGCCAGCCTGCGATGCATACCTGTAATCCCAGCTACTCAGAAGGCTGAGGCAGGAGGATAAAAAGTTTAAGGCCAATCCAGTCAACTTAGAGAGAACATATCTCAATACAGTGTTACCAAAAAAAAGAGCTAGGCCGGGGATTTAGCTCACTGGTGCGGTGCCTGCCTCACAAGCGCAAGGTCCTGAGATCAATCCCCAGTACCGCAAAAAAAAAAAAAAAGAGCTAAGGATGTAGCTCAGTGGCCCTGGGTATGGTGCTCAATACTACAAATGGAAATCAGTCAGGGGCTCATGCCTGCTAGGCAAGTAGTCTACCAATGAGCTATACTCCCAGCATGATACTATACTTATATATATAAGATCCAGAGGCTGGCCTCAAACACTGTCACTCAGTACCTCCTCAGATTTTTTTTTTATTTTTAAATTTTGAGACAGGGTCTTGCTAAATTGTATAGGCTGGCCTTGAACTTACAAACTACCTCAGACTCCCAAACAGTTGGAATTAGAGGTGTGTGCCACCATATCTGGTGAGATTATTTCTTTTCCTTATCATATACACTTAAGTCTTATTTCTTACCTTTTCTATAGGATCTTTCATATTGTAGTTTTTCTTATACAAAATAGCTTTTGATTTCCTTTTAAACCCAAACCTTGTAAGGAGAAACAAGTATTTGTCTACTTATTTATATTTCCTAACATAGCTGTTCATAAACATTCATGTACTGAAATATATATTTCATTATAAATCACTTAAATTTTTTCTTTCATATAACTGTTACGTATATGTCTATTTTGGAGCTTATAGATAGGTTATATTATATACTGATTTCATTAAAAAATATCGATTATAAATACTTATTAATAAAAATGAGATAATGGATCTGATAAGGTAAATAATCACCTCCTCCTGCATTGGTTTGAAATTTACACCCAATGGCCTTTAAAATTCTATGAACCACAATCTTATCTCTCTTTTCCATGGGTATCCTGTGTTGTTTTAGACAGCCCAACCCAACTCCACTGCTATTCCCAAGAGCAGACCTAGTTCTCTGTTTAATGATCAGACTTTCAGTTTATACTGAGCAGCTTGCACCAAGTTTTTTTTTTTTCCTTCTTCCTCAATATGGTTTTTCTCCTTCAAACTAGAATGTATTCTCAAAACTCCTCCACAACTAACTTCCTTAGAAATCATCCTTCTGAGGCTGTAGCCCTGGATAAAAAAAAAACTCTTTTCTATATTGCTTCTGAGAGTACACTACTTATTTCTCTTTAACTCTCTAGTCTTTTCTTTAAAAGTAGGCCTTCAGGCTTTTTTTTTTTTTGGTGGTGGTAGTAAACTGAGGATTGAAATCAGGGGCTTCACACTGAACTATATCCTCAGACTTTTTTTTTTTTAAATTTTGAGACAGGGTCTTTCTAAAGTTGCCCAGGTTGGGTTTGATCTTACAATTTTCTTGCTTCAACCTCCCAGAGTGCTGGGATTATAGGCCAGTGCAACCGGGCCCAGCTTACTCTTATTCTTTCTTTTCTATTTCCATTTCTACCTGCTAAGATCAGATTCTCATCATTGCTACAATAATTTCTTCTTATCTTCAGGCTCTTCCTATCTTTTAATATATGCTATTTATCTTGACATCAAATCTTTGTAAAATGCAGCTTCACCAAGTAGGTTTTCTTCTCTTCAGAGAGAATTCAATATCCCATGAGTAGTTCGATCCCCGGTACCACAAAAAAACCCAAAAATAAGGGCTGGGGATTTAGCTCAGTGGTGCTGGTGCCTGACTCACAAGCACAAGGTCCCAAGTTCGATCCCCAGTACCAAAAAAAAAAAAAAAATCCCATGAGTAATACCCATATTAATCTGGTCTGGCTTTTAAAGCCTTTATTAAATTGGACCAGTAGTCTATCCGAAATCACCTGTTTACTTCTCTAACTCTGACTCTCTGCTTCAGCTAAAACAGTCTTTGAGATCCCAACTTCTCTGTACATCCTCTTACAGTACATAGCATAATGTTTTGTTTTTCAAGACAGGGTCTTAGGCTGAGGATTTAGCTCAGTGGTACCACACCTGTCTGGCAAGCGCAAGGTCCTGAGTTCGATCCCTGGTACAAAAAAAAAAAAGACAGGTAGGTAGTTCAGTAGGTAGTTCAGGCTAGTCTTGAACTCACTATGTAGCCCAGGCTGGTCAAGAACTTGAGCCGATTCTCTTGCTGCAGCCTCCCTGAGTGCTGGGATTATAGGCCTGTTACCACCACACCTGGCTCATGTTAATATTACAGAAATACTTAAATAATTTATTAGTTCCAAAATAAATATTTTCGTGGTCGTTCACCTCAATATAACATATATTTTAATCAGTGACTACTATGTAACAACTACTATGCTAGGCATCAGAAATAAAAATATGAAGATATAGATGTTTATCTCAGTGAGCTCCCAGCCTAATAGGGAAATTGTTTTAAACACAATAGAAATCTATGACCCACTATTGTGCAACAAGCTTACATCTTAAAGTATAGTACAATATAATCAATAGTGTTTGTCTTGGAAACACTTAAAATGTTTGCATAATGGCTGAACAAAAAGATTTACATACAGATCGAAGTCTGCTATGCTATTCAGTTAAGCTGTGGCATCTATCTTGAGGACTAAAAATTTTTACAGAGGTAAGGACTACAAAGTGATTTAAAAGTTTACATAAATCCAGGTTAGCTGCCTAGTTGCCTATTTCTGCTAAGTTGTATATACATTTATCTCACAGCAGTGTGATAAACAATTTTCTATGTAGGAAATGCCCCCAATATAAATACATACCCATGAGGTCAGCAAATCCTCCTACTGGCAATCGGCAGGTTCCAGTAACAAACTGCAAAAGTCTCATTCTCTTCTCATTATCAATTTCTTTAACAAACTGATAAAATCACATTAAAAGATATATGCAGGTCATATGTTACATTAAGCTCACTAAACAAGAAAGAAAAAGGATTTCAAACTTTAAATGAACCCCTGGTGTCACCTGCACTATCTAATAACTTTACTCAACACTGTGGATAGGGGGAGCATTTCCATGTTTTGTCAAGTTCCTACGCTTCCTCTACGTAAATCTTAGGATGACATCTTTAAAGGAAGTGTTGCCTGGACATAAGAAATCCTTATTTAGGCAGTTTTTGAAAATCAGCTCTTCTCGGGGATCCCCCTGCTCTGCCATTTAAATCTGGATGTCCTGGGCTGGGGATTTAGCTCAGTGGTTCCACTGCAAGCACAAGGTCCCAAGTTCGATCCCCAGTACCAAAAAAACAAACAAACCTGGATGTCCTATAGGACATTCATATAATTACACAGTTTGAGTCTGTACAGACTTTTTGGTTTTATGAAAAAAAGAAATCAATCTCAGAAAATTCTGTTTCAGATATAACCAACAACTTCCTTTCCTCAATGTTCTTTAGGTTTCGGTTGAAGTTACTCATAGGCAGAATTATGCACCTTTTATCTCCTATACTTGACTCAAAGCATTAGGTTTCTGGCTGGAATATCTAGCCTAGCTGAGCCAAATATTTTTTGTAAGGAATAGCTTGTTTTACTACTGAAAATTATTTTAAAGTGCTAAACCTATTTGTTATAGCTCAGTTCACTTCTTGAGTGAAGTGAATTCACTGTTGAGTTTTTTATATGAATTTCTTTACATGTACATCAGACTTATTAAAAATTATGGTAAAATATACTTAACATAAAATTTATCATGTTTATGATTTTAAGCGTGTAATTCAATGACATTAAATACACACTGCTGGGTCAGGGATGTAGCTCAGTGGTGCAGCACCTGCCTGGCAAGCAAAAGGTACTTCGTTCGATTCCCAGTATCAAAAACCAAAAAAACGAACTGCTGTATAACCATCATTTCTATTTCCAGAACTACTTCACTATTCTAAATAAAAACTGTGTACATATTAAACAACTTCCCACTCCTGCTCCCTAAGGCTACATTCTACTTTCTAGCTCCATGAATTTGTCCATTCTATGGAACCTCATATAAGTGGAATAAAACTTGCCTTTTGTGGCTGGTTTATTTCTTTTCTTTCCTTTTTTTTTGAGACAAGGTCTCTCTTTTCAGTGCAGGCTGGCACTGAACTTACTAGGTAGCCTAGGCTGGACTCGAACTCACAGCAATCCTCCTGCCTTAGACTCACAAGTGCTGGGATTACTGGCATGTGCTCCCATGCCCAGGTAGTTATTTCATTTCTTTGAAAATTCATGTTTTTGTTCATTGTTTCTTTTTTCTCTTTGAGTCAGGGTCTTGCTATGTAGTTTGGGCTGGCCTTGAACTCTCAGCAATCCTGTCTCAGCCTCTGAAGTTCTGGGATTACAAGCATGGACCATCATTGCTCAGCTGTTCACTGTTCCTTGAATACTTTTGTGTGTGTGGTGCTGAAGATGGAACCTGGAACCACTTGGATACTAGGCAAATGCTCTACCACTGAGCTATACCCCCAGCCCAAAATTTATAATGTCTTAAGTAAGGTTCATTTATGTTGCAGCATATATGAAAAATTTCAGTACTTTTTATGGTTGAACAGTATTCTATTACCCATATATACCACATTTTGTTTATTCATCGAATGACAGGCATATGGGTTAATTTCAATGCTTGATGATCTTGAGTAATACTGCTATGAAAGCTGATATAAATCAGTATCTGTTGGGGTGGTGTCTCTGCTTTTAATTCTTTTGGGGTGGAAGTGCTAAATATGTTATGATTAATTTTTAGAAGCAATGCCAAATCATTTTCTATAGTGGTTGATTATTGTACTCTCACCAGCAATAATTTAATTTCTCTACATTATCACCAAAGATTATGCCTCTCTCTTCCTTTTTTTTGATAGTACTACTGAGTATAAAGTGGTACACCTCACTGTGTTTTTTTTATTTTTTGGGGGTACCGGGGATCGAACTTGGGATCTTGTGTTTGTGAGGCAGGCGGCAGAACCACTGAGCTAAATTCCCGGCTGCTACTGTGGTTTTGTTTGCATTTCCTTAGTGACTAATGATTTTGATTATCTTTTTATGTTTTTTACAGATACCATTATGATTCTAAACCAAGGTCTTGAATTTTGCTACCTGAACATTATATAATTCTTAAAGAAGTACAAGTGGGGCCAGGGATTTAGCTCAGTGGTTTCGCTGCCTGCTGTGCAAGCACAAGGACCTGAGTTCGATTCCCAGTACCAAAAAAAAAAAAACCAATATTAGAAGTACAAGTGATAAAAACCTTACTGACAATTATTTAAAATTCCAAAAGCATTTAAATCAAATGTAGGTGAATCTTATCTTCTGGAATTGTCTTTTACTCTGGCCAAAGCTGCAAGATATGTGTTCCTTACTTAATCTTAAAAGGATGCTGTTAAATTCTATACTCACTTATTATGATGTATAGAATACAATGAAAGGCCTACACATACTGGTGCATTTTGTTCTGTGGTAAATTCTAAAAAATTATGTTGTATCTACCAATAGAAATAAATTTAGAAACAAACCTGCCAAAACCACATGATTTGTTTGCTTGTCCTAGTGTAATGACGGTAGATGGCATGTCTTTGCCAGTCATTCAAATCAATCTCCTGCATGCCACATAAAAGGACCTTCAGGGAAGGAAAAAACAAAAAACTTTTTAAGATAACTGTAGAAAATGCTTGACAGATAAGAAAAGACTAACATTGACTAGCTTTAGAAAGTTATTAATGAGTAGCCTTCAGCTTTTAACTGTACATCAAGAAATGTATTTATGGGCCAGTGATTTGGCTCAGTGGTTCTGCCGCCTGCCTTGCAAGCACAAGGTCCTGAGTTTGATCCCCAGTACCAAAAAAAAAAAAAAAAAAAAAAAGAAATGTATTTATATTAGAGTTTCCACATATGGTGTCATACATAAATTCAAGAAATAGGTCATTCAATTGCAGGTAAGTCTTAATAGTAATACTGTTCTTTGGGGGGTTTTTTGACTGGGGATTGAACTTAGGACCTTGCACTTGCAAGGCAGGCTCGGCACCACTGAGCTAAATCCCCAGCCCAGTAATACTGTTTTTTTAAAGGTAGTACTCTTTCTTTTTAATCTTAGCATAATTTATAGTTTTCTTTAACAATTAAGGATGCTTCAAAACATCTTACCAGAATAAAAACCACTGTCACTGGAAAGATGAGAAAGTAGATACCTGCAGACATTGAGTAGAATGCTGTAATGGAATAATGAAAAACTTATTACCTCTAATTCCTTTGCATCAAAGTACTGCAAATACTGCTGGGGAAGAATTTCATTAAAACCTTCGAAGAAAGCTTGCGTCTGTTCTTCAACACCTCGAGACAACCTCCACTCAGCTACCATTCTGGCAAGTAAATATGAAAAAATTATCAGGATGTTTAAATTTTACCTTTAAATTCTGAGTATTAAATTAGAAATTTTTAAACTTTATTATGAAAAACCTGAAGCACAAAAGTAGAACAGAATAAATCCCTTTGTATACAATGTCTAAGCTTCATCAAAATACCAATCTTTTGCCCAACTCATACCCTAACTATAATTTCATTAAAAAAAAATTTCAGCCACTTGTGGTGGTGCACCCCTATAATCTCAGTATTCTGAAGGGTGAGGCAGGAGGATTGCTGTGAGTTCAAGGACAGTGGGGGCTACATAGTGAGTTCAATGCCAGCTTAAACTACAGAGTGAGACCCTGTCTCAAAAAAAAAAAAAAAAATCAGGTTGCCAGTAGTTTGCTACCTTCTGCCATGAACTGTTTCTCCTTTGCCATACCACCCTGCCTTGGAGCCAGTCAACTATGGATTGAAGCTTCTACAAATGAATGCCTCTCCATATGGAACATAAAATTTCAAACACTACAGACTTTAAGAGTTGCCTACCACACAGGACCAGTGGTCAACTGTAATACTAAGGGAAAAACCTATTTATGCTACATGGAAAATGTCTAACTGTGGTTCCATACAAATGTGGAGTGTCATCATTAGCTAGCGCTCTTGGAAAACTCAAACATACTCAAGATCCAGGCACTCAGGACATCCCCCACCGTTATTCTTTTTGGTACCAGGGATCGAACTTATGACCTTGCACTTGCGAGGCAGGCACCGTGCCACTGAGCTAAATCTGCGGCCTTCCCCACTTTTTTATTGTTGTTGAGACAGGTCTCACTCTGTAGCTCACTATGTAGTCCAAGCTGGCCTCAAACTCGTGGCAATCCTCCTGCAGTAGCCTCCTGAGGGCTGGGAATACAGGTATGTGCCACCGCGTGTGGCATGCCCCACTTTGTAAACTGGGAAATATCTCAAGGATGTGGACTTGGATCCCTGAACTCAGAGCAGTCAAGAAGAATTTTAAGGAGAGAAAAACCCCTGAAGTTTACAGCCAGAAGTTCCAGCATCTGAACAATTTTATCAACTAAAAAGAACAATTCAGAAAAACACATTGAAGTAGAACTATGTAAATTTTTGACTAAGTGGACACCTGACTTTCATATTGTAATTGGTGACATAACAGGGCTCCTGGGAAGATGCAAAGCAGAGCCATCATTTCATCCCCAGAACTGTCTGATGAAACTTATCCAAATTCATGTGCTTTCCTACAGGTTGTGCCCTGGGTTAATGGACACTGCCTTAGAATAAACAGATGTACACATAATATAGCTCTGTCTGCAGCAGTTCCCTGTCATTCCTGAGTCTGTCAAGTGCGCTTGCTTACAAATTTTGAGCAAAATGTGATGACACTCTTATTAGTATCAATATGGAGTCAGTAAGTTTTTGATTATACTAATACTTAACAAGATGAGAAAATGGGGCCAGGGATTTAGCTCAGTGGTTCCACCGCCTGCCTTGAAAGCACAAGGTCCTGAGTTCTATCCCCAGTACCAAACAAACAAACAAACAAGATGAGAAAATGGGCGAGCAACCTGAAATTCTTCAAAATGGCTTTAATCCTGAAGACAATAACTGCAGTAACTGTAATCAGGAGTTAAATGAAAAGCCTCAAGATTCAACAGAAAAGACTGCCTCATGCCTGTGATACCCAGGAGAGCAGCTCTACTAAATGACATTCTTCATTCAGCATACAGTGAGATGTTTCTTCTGCTTCACTTAAAGGATATCCCCACTCAGGACATCACTCTATTTCTCCAGTATTTGTACTTCCTTTATCTGAAATGTAGTGAGAATGCTATTATGACTCTTCCTGGGATACACCCTCCAATTCTAAGCTATATTATGGATTGGATATGCCTATTCCTAGATGCTAATTTTACTGTTGTCTTAAGGATACCAGAAGCAAAAAAAGCTACTGATAAACCTTTTTTCCCCCTTGGTTCCGGGAATCAAACTCGTGCTTGTGCTTCCCAGACAGGAAGTATACTTAAAATCAGCTTTATACACCTCTGTTAAAAATGCAAATTTTTTGAAGTTTTCTACCAAATATTCTAGATTTCAACTCTGCCTCTCTCCTAATCTTCAACTTCATATATACATCTTAACAGAGTCAAAATCATTACTTTTTAAAAACTTTAATGAGTAAAGGAAAAATGTGCATGTTAGGCATTCGATTTTTTTGCACACATTTTTTGAAGGCCTAAAGTTTACTGAAAACTATGCAATTGTAGGTTCGGGGATTTAGCTCAGAGGTGCCACCACCTGCCTCGCAAGCACAAGGTCCCAAGTTCAATCCCCCAAAAAAGAAAACTATGCAATTGTAAAAAATGCAGTGTATGCTGTATTGGACTAATCTTCCTGATAATTAGTTATAAACTCTGTGAAGATGATAACATGTTTGAGGGCACAAGTAAGAAACCAAATGCAGGCAGGAATTGGTAGGGAGATACTTGAAAGGAAGACAGTGCACTAGAGGAGATCTAGATGATTTTTCTTTTTTGCAGTTCTGGGGATCAAACCCAGAGTCTTGCACATGCTACTCTAGTCCCGTACCACTAAGCTACATCCCCAACCCTAGATCCACACTTGATAGACTTCTCCAGAGGGCATTTCCCAGTTTACAAAGAGCACAGGTGAAGAGAGTTCAAAGAATAAGCAACAGTCTTTATTCGACTGAGAAGACATTACAGTTGGGAGTTTGAAGCTGCCAAAGCAGCTAGGGGAAAGTCCCAAAAAGGAACATAGATAGGGATCTTCTAAGTCTGCAAAAAAACTTACTTCAAATCTTTAGATGATGCTTCAATGCATATATATATATATATAATGAATGACTCTAAAGAAACCCTGTGGCATGCCAAAACCTAGGCAGGAATATTAGCAGCTTCTAGAGAGACAGAATTTTTAAGTGCTTAGATCTCACATGAAGTTAAAGGGACTTGGTAAACACCTTGGGCTTTCCATTGTAAGGACTAATGTACTATGTTCCAGGAATGAGGGTTATGTTTTAGGACCAAAGGAAAAATGGAAATAGTCCAGCCCCAGCAAACTTCCAGCAGATCAAAGTAATCAAAAGAGCTACAAAACTCAATAGTATGAAGAAAAAAATCCAGTCTCTGCCATGTATCACAATAAAAATTACTACACAATCAAAGCAGCAGGAAAATGTTACCCATAATCACATGAAAAAAATCTACAGGTTAAGGTTTATAGATGACCCAGTGTTGAAATTAGTGGATCAAAAGGCTTTAAAACAGCTAAGAAAATATAAGAAGGGTCTGGGAGTGCAGCTCAGTGATAAAGGATTTGCCTAGCATGCACAGGCCCTAGGAAAAATATCTAGCATAGTACAAAAAAACAGTATAAGATGAATGAAATGAGTAAAGTGATAGAAATTCTCAGCACGAAAACAGAAACTCTTAAAAATAGCCAAATGCAGAGCCAGGTATAGTGGCATACACATATAGGAGGCTGAAGCAGGAGGATTGTGAGTTGGAGGACAGCTGGGCTACCTAGTGAGTTCAATGACAGCCTGGACTACACAGTGAGACTCTGTCATGAACTGAATCGATCAAAGGAAAGTGAAGTGAAGCTATTGAAACAAAACACAAAACCAAACCAAACCAAATTAACAGCACTGTGGGACTTGGAGGCAGAAGGAACTAAGTTTGAGCCTAGCTTGGGCAACTCAGCAACATAGTAAGACCCTGTCTCAAAATAATAAAAAGGCTGGGATGTAGCTCAGAGTGTAAAGATCCTGGGCTTAATCCCCAGAACTGCAAAAATAACAAAATAGCCAAATACAAATTCTTGAATAAAAATTTTATTAGGTGGACTTAACAGAAAAGAGAAGTGACTTCAAAGGCAGATTAACTAAAATAATGCAAACTAAAAAGAAAAAAATTAAATATGGAAACTCAAAACTATGTGATAGCATTAAAGGCTAAATATATGATAACTTAAGTCTTTAAAGTAGCATGCCAGGGGAATGAAGCATAGAGAACATCTAGAATTTTTCCACAGTTGATGAAATGGCATCAACCACATATACAAGCTCAGAAATGACCAGGATAAGTATAAATTGACCACAACTAGTTACATCAAAAACCAAAGTCTGGGCCAGGGATTTAGCTCAGTGGTTCTGCTGCCTGCCTTGCAAGAGCAAGGTCCTGAGTTCGATCCCCGGTATCAAAAAAAACCCCAAAAAACAAACAAACAAAAACCAAAACTCATATATCCTAACGGGCTGGGGATTTAGCTCAGTGGTTTCGCCACCTGCTGCACAAGTGCAAGGACCCAAGTTCGATCCCCGGTACCAAAAAAAAAAAACCCAAAGCTTAAATCTTTTGAAAACCATACATTTAATTCAGAAAAACAGTAAAAATAATGGCTCATGGCATCAAGAACAATGGAGGTTAAACAATGGAATGACAAGCCAGGCTTAGTGACACATGCCTTAGGAGGTTGAGACAGAAGGATTCCCACAAGTTTGAGGCCAGCCTGAACTAAGTAGTGAGACTATCTTAGAAAAAGAAAAGAGAGAAAGTTTTAAAAGAACATTTTAAATGTATCAATTTTTTAAACGTATAAATTTTTAAAAATTTTTACCAACAAGTATTTTAGTAGTTAAAACTGTGCAGTTTTAATTATGAAGGGAAAACCAGGCCAGAGATGCAGAAACTGGAACTTAAGAAGCAGAGCCAGATGCAGTGATGCATCCCTGTAATCTCAGTTATTCAGGATACTGAGGTAGTTGGATCAGATCAAGAACAGCATGGGGAACTTAGCAAGACTCTGTCTCAAAATAAAATTTAAAAAGAGTGGGATGTAGCTTAATGGTATGGCACTTACCTAGCATGGACAAGGTTCAATCCCTAGTACCACAAAAAATGAAACAAAATAACTCCAAAACAACAAAAAACAGAAGAGATATGCAAAATTTAACTCTCGTAGGACAGAATTGTGTTGAGAAGACATGAATGAACTAATAAGGCTGTAAATATGAACCAATGCAAAGCATTAGAGAGGCTATACTATACACTAGTATTTTACTTATAATTTTTGCCTCATCTTACAATATTCCCCATGAAATTTATATGCATATAAATTTGAGATACTTTATAATGACACATTATAGTAGTCATAGTAGGCATAGTAGTCACAGAATTGGTATTAAAAAGTCATCCAGCAATACTTCTACTCTTAAAAACTCCCACTTTGGGGCTTAAACTGGAAATGAGAAGTAACTGCCTATATAGAGCAATGCTTAGTACAAAGGCAAATATTGTCTTTTGAAATATTGTCTATTACTATTGCTGGGCAATTATCACCAGAAACTATGTCAAAAGGAACATTCTCTCTTACCTGATGTATTCTTCTTTATTTTCTTCTGTTACAAGAATATTGCCACCATTTGGTTTTAAATCATGACTCTTAATTTCACCTAGAATTTCTTTATCGACAGAGAAGTACATTTCCAAACCACATTCCTCAATGTTGTTTTCTCTGCATAAATGACAGTAGTACTATTTGTTATGGCCATCAATCCAATTTTAATTCAAAAGTTTAAAGATCTTAGGTCCTAAATAATTAACATTAAGTTTTAACATCAAAATGAAAAATTAGAAGATTATGGTCAAAAGTTATCACTATATTAACATCCGTAACATCTTGGGCAGTGGTGGTAAACCTATGGCACGCATGCCACAGCAGGCACATAGAGCCCTCTCTGTTGGCACTCGAGCCAAGTTGTCCCAGTAGCCAAGCATTGGATAAGTTATTTTTTCTAAAATAAAACCTTAGTATTCAAGTTTAATTGCAATGTTAGCATTTTGTGATAAATAAGTGAGTTTTGGGTTGCAGTTCGGGCCCTTGGTCTGTAAAAGGTTCACCTTCACTGGTATTGGGTATACTTCTCTAAATTTTATTACACTAAACAATGAGACAGGTTTGATGTATAAATCGCTTAAATTCTATATAGCCATTACATGCCCACAGTTTAAGTTACTAATAGCATAATAAAAGCTTATAGATTATATTTTAATAAATTAAATGTAAAGCGAAACTTACTTAACCCAGATGAGAGAATTATAAAATTCTGGGTCAATAGATTCTAAATCCTTAAGTCCAACTGGTTTGTTAAGGATACGTTTGTAGAACGGTAAAGAAAAACCTGTGTCTATGAATTTCCCATGGAACAGAGCCTATAAAAAAACAGGAAGAAAAAATCATTTTAGATAACTGTATAAACGTCATTGCATTTCAAAATGTTAGGTGAATTCTTCATTAAATAAAACTCCCCTGTCATATGGTCTGTTATGGCACATGTAAGAAAAATCAGTATTACTGAATTAACAAAGTAAATGCACAGTTCTCTACACTTATTTATTTATTTACTTGGTGTTTTGGAGACAGGATCTCACTATGCAGTTCAGGCTGGCCTTGAACTCACTATGTAGCTCAGGCTGGCCTTGAACTCATGGAGATCCTCCTGCCTCAGCCTCCCCAGTACTGGGATTACAGGTATGCACCACCATGCCCAGCTAGTTCTCTACACTTACCATGGCGATAAACCTGCCAATAAACCGAAAATATTTCAGGTGATCTGGATTGATGTAAGAAGCAGGGTTTATCTGTAAGCAGTAGTTATCCTTCCCTGCATATTCAAACAGGCAATACATTGGGTTCAACACTTCATGTGACAAAAGAAAGAACCATTCTCTGAAATCAAAAGAAAACTCAAGATGAAACATTTTCTAAGTAACCATGAAAACAAATCAAAGAGCAGTGCTACAAAGTTCTCTGGAATCTGTATGCCTCAGCGGATAATACTTTTCTCAGCTGATAATGTGTTGATATTTTCTTGCTTCTGTTCAAAAACATCTATTTTATTTTTTTATTTTATTTTATTTATTTTTTTGGTACCAGGGATCAAACTCAGGACCTTGCGCTTGCCAGGCAGGTGCTGGAACCACTGAGCTAAATCCCCGGCCCCAAAACATCTATTTTATAGAGATGATTTATATACTGCTTATTTCAAAGAATCTAAGGGATGACTGACCTACCTACCTTCCTTCCTTCCTTCCTTGAGGCAGGGTCTTGCTTTGTGGTTCAGGTTGGCCCTGAACTATGTAGCCCAGGCTGGCCTTGAACTCAGCAATCCTCCTGCCTCAGCCTCCAGAGTGCCGAGATTATAGGTGTGTGCGCCACCACACCCAGTGCATGACTGACTTTAAAAGCAACTTTAATGAACCACTAAAATTTTTTCCAATTTTAACAACATTTCACAATTTCAGTCATCAAAATGTGAAAATATTAGTCTTAGAAATGATGAACAGTATACATAGGCACATTTAAAATTCATTATTAACTCAGGTGATTAGAAGAGCTAAAATACGTCAAATATTCCATATATTACTAAGTTCCACATTGATCCTCAAAGAGTGCTACTACTCCCTACATCTTAGATGAATATGAAAAATCTTTCAACTTCAAAGGTACTATAGCAAGCATTTAATTTCAGCTGCTGAAATATTAGAAAAATGCTCTGAAATACTCCAATTTAGGTGCTCAAAAAGTACCAATCCAACTTAACATAAGATTATGGATATTAACTATAATGGGTGGATTCTGGTAAAACACGTATGAGGCAACATATTGTGATGCCCGCTTGTCTCCTAGACCTGCCTTCTTGTTAGTTCATGGCACCTGATGATAATCTGGTAATACTTTCATATTATTACTTGGTTTAATATTGCTAGTTGCTCAACATATGATTGAGAAAATAATACTTGCAAGCAAAGTGCAATGATACCTTTGGAGGAAAGGAACTAAGTTCTGAGTATTCATATTATCACTACCTTGCTACACCTCCATAATCTAAACCTTCTTCTCCTGGAAAAATCACCCACAAACGTCTTCGAAGATCTTGAGAACTGAAGCTCATTATCTACAAAACAATAAAGTAAGATAATCAGTAAAACAGGTAAGGAAAACACTATTCTATTACTTCTAAGTCTGACACTTCCTATATTATAGGTAATTTAAATCTCCCAACACATAAAGGGGTACTGATGGTCTAATTAGAACACAAGCATAGAAAATATATTAGTTTCATAATATTTCATAGAGGGCCAAGGATTTAGCTCAGTGGTTCTGCTGCCTGCCTTGCAAGTGCAAGGACCCAAGTTTGATCCCCGGTACCAACCTCCCCCCCAAAAAAACCCATAATATTTCATAGATATCTAGATTTGCATTATTTTGTACACATAATTTTCATTCAAATGATGCTACTACTGACTAATAAAGTTGCTTACAGCACAGAGTAACCATAGACATGGTCAAAGATCAGGTGGGGTTTTTTGGGGGTGAGGACAGAGGTTTGTGTTTGTTTGACAGCCAAAGGTATACGTAATAGCTAATGGGATCTTGGAAATGAAAACCTGTGGTTGCAGACAACCAGTTAACTTTGGAAACTCAGTTTTAGTGGCATCCTGAACATATAATGGAAAAGCTACCCAAATTTCATGTTCTATTATATGAGGTTAAGAGAATCATTTTAGCATCTAAAGGACAGTACTATTACTAAGTTACAATGGATAGGTCATTTGGTTTCCCTGTTTAAAAAAGATCTCACCATACTGCCAAGGCTGGCCTTGAATTTCGCAATCTTCCTGACCCAGACCCCTGGGTGAGATTACAGGCATGTGCTACTGTACCCATCTTGTAAAACTATTTAATTATTTGCCCAAAATTGGGTTAGTACAGTCTTGCATATATTAATTACCCTTAGGAAAAAAACTGCAAGGGCCTGGAGAGAGAAAATGTAATAAAATGCCTATATTTTATCAAGAACGAACTCTCATAGTTAAATATCCAAAGAATATTAGGAAATAATTTGGTTTTGGCAGAGTTCTTTCAATTCTCTGTAAAACAGACTATTTTTACAAATCACATCAAAAAAAAGAAAATCCCAGGTATAACCAAAAAATTTAATGACATACCTACATTTTTTTTTTTTTTTTTTTGGTCCCAGAGATTGAACTCGGGACCTTGTGCTTGCAAGGCAGGCTGTGGCACCTCTGAGCTAAATCTCCAGCCCTCATACCTACATTTTGGATAAATGTTATAGGCTAACTAAACAGCAATGCAAATGACAGATGTCACAAAGTTAAAGCTACCTTTAAATAATTTCCTTTGATAATTGCCTAATATGAAGGGAAAAATTATTTTCTTCCACAATTTCCCTCATAAGCAGCTACACTATGTGAACAAAAGAAAACACTATTTATGACAATTTTATCCAACAGCTGAGAACAAAATCTAAGGCTAATTTTGACATCAGATTTATTACCTTTAAGCAATCAAGATGTTTTCTTAAATTATTATTATCTGTTTATTTGAAGAATATCAAATCTAAGATGGCAGTTTTTAGCACCATCTGTTCTGTTATTTGAAAAAACCTTTAGATTTGAAGTCAAAAGATGAAGGGTCAGTTTAACTATTTTTTTCATCTTTTCAATAATGCTGCCAGCAAGTTATGTTACAAGAAATTGGACCAATAGACCCTGTCTACTCAGTGACAAAGGGTGGTTATAAATATAAAACTTAAGAGATGGGCAACAAGTGGTGTAGGCAATGACCCTGGAGACTTACATCAGATCAAGCGTATAACTGTAATTCTCTGAAAGGCCTCAGTCAAGCTCCACATCCTACTAAAAAGCTGTCTGTGCTTCCACAGCAGGATGTCAATTGGCTTTTCCCTTTAAATTTTAATAACTGAGGTTCCATTAGAAAATCAACATAACTGTTTCTAAAATAAAGTAGGTAGCTATTGTCAACCATCTCAGTATCCTTTCTCTTTGCTCTCGGTTCAGGATTTCTTGAATATGTAGCTGCTACAGTACCAAAGATGCTTGAAAATAATCACTTTCACATCTGGCCATAAAACAAGGATGAGATAGATGTTTTCACTAAAAATTTTTTTGACTCATCATTTTAATCTTGATAATACAACCACTTAACATTTAGTTGCATTTGGTTGTTATTAATATCCACAACATAAAGGTAAACAAACAG